AAATTAAAATATAAAATTATATTAATAATAATTAAATATAAATAATAATTAAATATAAATCATCAAAACAATTATTTGAAAAGTGAATTTTGTTGAATTGTCTCCATGATACTAGGAAGTTTTGATCATTTATCAGAATTTCTATAATTTTGTTTATTATTGATTATATAATTAAAACTAATTATTATTAATAATATGATATTTTAGAAAATAAGTTAATTCTTATGTATTATGCTGTTATATTGAAAAAAAAAATTAATTTAAAGTTAACATGTAAAAAATCTATAATATTATTTAAGAAGTGAATTTTATGTTTGCTGATTTGTCATATTTTCCATGATTTTAGTTAATTTAGATAATTTATCAATTTATATAATTTTATATATAATTTATTATATATTTTAAACAAATTTATATTAATAGTATCAGATTCTTAGAAAATAAAGTACTTCTTATGTATTAAGATGTTGTCTTGAAAATATATTTTTCTATTAGAAATTTAAAACTAAGATATAAAAAGTTGTAGTTATTCTATAACTGAAATAAATTTACGCTAATAATATTATACTTTTAGACAATATGGTAATTCTTATGTATTATGTTGTTATCCTAGAAATATATTTTATATTATACAATTTAAAAGTAAAATAGAAAAAATATCTATTATTAGTTAAATATAAATCATCACTCAAGAAAAAAGGATTTAAAAAGTGAAGTTGCTGATTCATTAAGTTCTCAAGGATTTTAGATAATTTTAATTATATATCATAATTTCTATAATCTTATATAATTATTATATAATTAAAAAAATTAACATATTATATTTTCAGAAAATAAATAACTTATGCATTATATTGTTATCTTGAAAATATGTTTTTCTAATATAAAATTTAAAATTAAGATATAAATATTATAATTAAATATAAATCGAGAAAATAAGTTACAGCAATATATTCTTTTAAATATTTCTGATGTTTGAGTTTTGTCATTGATAATTATTTGATGTTTGATTTTTACTTTTCGAAAACATAAATAATAACTTACTATGCTGATTTTTAAATTAATAAAATATCAACTAATAAATATTCATAAGAGAATTATGCCCGCAAGTGACTGGATTTTACAGATATATACATTAATATCATCTC